GGACATCTGATGTGCATCACTGGTGTGGTTACAGATCTTCGCTATCTCGTCAAAACTGGCGCGAAACTCAACGTCCTTCCTGCAAATTCTGACGATCGTACACACGAACGAATCTTCAATTTGCGGATGGAAACTCGGAAGCCGATCTTAATGTTGGATTACGCAAACCTATTCACTAGTTCTTTGTTATTGAAGAGGGTCCTACGCCGATCATTGGTATAGACCTGCTGCAAAATCATAATCCACTAATCAACCTGAGCAAACAGAGGTTACTAGACTGAAATACTGAATTATCAGTCTGTGGAACTTCATTTTATGATTGTAAGTTGTCCTCTGCCACCATTAAGCACATAATCGACCCATACTACAGACGGATATTCGACATATACTCCGAACTGTACCAGACGTGACCAAACTTGCCTTGAGTAATAAGTGATGTTACTCATTAGTTCCCATTGATATGTTTGTTAATTGCTGACTGACACTGAAGTCGATCTAATCTATCAAGCAATCGGAAAAATTACGCATAAATATAAGACCAAGTATCAAATCAACGGGAGATGCAATCAAAACAAAGAAGTAAGCAACGACAGGTTAAAGGTCAACATTAGCCAATCAAAACCGAGGTCGACAGAACAAACTGTGAGTAATATGTGGAGAAATTCGAATACTTCACTTCCACATTAATTTTGTACCGATTAGGCTGTTCATAAGAAAAATGAGAGCTCCATGACCAAACCATCCAGCTCACGGAGCAAAACTTCGTTTAAGTCATCCGATGGAGCTAAACATTTTCGCTACCATCTTAATAGATCACATTTATATTGACAAATCAACCATTTTCCAGATGAATCTTTGCATTCCTACGCTACAAAATTCTGATATAAATTGCTTTCGACAGTGTTGTGAAGCATTATATATCCGTGATAATAAACGTTTACTGTTCTTATAAACAATGCAGACAAACTACTCCTCGAAAGTCTCAAAGTGAAGCCTCGTCAAACATTGTTGCGAGTCACTCGCTTAACTCCCGTCGCTCTGTTGCAATGAAAAGTAATCGTAAGATGCCATTAGTTAATATGCAGGATCTAACATGACGATCGAAAGCTGTGAACACGATTTTAAAAGAAGCTAAACCCCCTCCTAGTTTAATTATTTGGAATCTAGAAGGGTCGAAAGACAATGACCCTGCTAGAAGATATGCACATTACCTGCAGTTAGTAGAGTCTGTGGTAAGAAATGTACTGCCTGAAGAAGTTTCAGGGAACATATTACAAAAGTAATACGACTTGGTAAATGGGTTGGAGGCGAGACTCAACCAAGAAGAATCCTGAAGCTGGTTCTCGGGAGTTTCGAAGAAAGAGATATATTATCAAAAAACTCACTAAAAACTCGTGACTCTGTAACAGCCTAGGTTGGTTGGTTAGGAGTTCACCTCAAACAACCAAGCATATGCCAAAACAGTACAGGTCAAGTATTCATTCACTTCCTTATTATGTATAAGCGTTGTTTGTCTAATTAAATAACCGCACGCTCCACTGTGACTGCGCGAAGATCGAAATAAAGACCTATTCACTACTTGTCTGGTTTCGTCTATCAATAGCACGAGGGTTACCTTAAGGCACGAAACTGGTGAGCCCGACGTGTTACTGAAGGAGTTTGAATCAAGTTAAGAGACCTGATGTGACTTTCTTTGCCTTTTGTGTAATACGAAGTTTCTTTTAGTGTTAAGCGCCGTTTCTTGGTGTCAACTAGAAATTCGTATATCTCTAGAAATTCCATCCCCAGTATTGCCAGATCTAAGTCGGCTACCTTGAAAACCCAAGGGAATTGCCTGCTGAACCCCAAATCTAGGGTTAAAGTTTTCTGCCCACATGTCGCGATTTTAGTTTTATTTGCAGCTTGAAGTGTAATTGATGATGTTTCTCGACTAATCTCAGTTTTATTTTGAGGGATGATGATATCCGTATTCGACCAGATTGGCCGCTTGAGGATCGAATCAAGTGGAAGAATGTTCTTACGGAGTTGAGGACTCGTAAATTAAATGGCGAAAATAACCTTACCATTAAGGGTTTTCGAGTAGTCAGTTCTTGGAAGCCAATGCTTCCGAGGCCTGTATGGGTAGAACGATTGATTGCCAAAACACCTTAAGTGTGTGCTACACGAACGCTCGTAGTCTTAGAAATAAAACGTCCGAGCTAAGTCTGATGGTGGAAGAATTATGTCCTGATATAATCGTTGTTACAGAAACTTGGTTCACAGTAGATATAGACTGTTTTACTTTCATTGCAGGCCATATCTGTATTAGAAGTGATAGAGTTTCAAGTCGCAAAGGAGGAGGTATAATATTATACGTTAGGGATCACTTTCGTATACAATCAACCATATCGGAGGCTCATATCAGTGGCACATGTGAGGTTGCATGTTGTAAGATTAAGTCTAGAAATGGGTTAGTGACTATAGGGGGAATATACCGTAGTCCGTTTTGTCTTGCTGACAACTTTATCCTAAGACACATCTGTTTTTGGAGTATGGCAGAATGTTGTTTCATCATTGGGGACTTCAACGCACCGCATATCAACTGGATAGAGCTTACAGCTCCAGGTAGTGGTTTCAACAGCGACCTTTTATCTACCGTTATTCAGTGTGCACTTGTACAACATATCACAAAACCGACACATATTGATTTCAATCATGATCCGTCACTGCTGGACCTCGCCGTCACCCACCACTGTGAGGATGTCTTTGATATTCAGCACCTTCCCCCACTAGTGAAAAGTGATCACGTAGTAATTCACTTTAAGTTTAGGACACATGGTACACAATTCGTATCTACTCCACCCCGTCCCAATATCTGGCGAGCCAATATTCCGGCAATCAGAAACTGTGCTATCTCGACCGATTGGTCGGTTGACGCGGATGGATTTATCGAAGATGAATGGAATAAGTTTGAGGCTACATTCGAGTCCGTAATGTCGCCGTTTATCCCATGGTCAGCACGTAAGCTATCAGATTGCCCTCCATGGATTAATAAGGAAACCCGGAAGCTGTTAAAGCGTAGGAAGCATTTCTGGGACTTATTCTTGTTGACAGGTCATGCACCATTTAAGCGTGAGTACCGAAATTCCGGAATATTTGTAAGAAAACCATAGCTAAATCCCATACTACTTACGAACGACAGTTGGTTTATGATTGCCGTACTTGTCCGATACGATTGTTTTCGTATGTTAAAAGGCGAATGAAACGTAGTGATGGTATTCCCCCGTTACTGTTACACGAAAATTCAGATTTACTAGCTAAATCAGATCGATCAAAAGCTGAGAATTTTTCAAACTACTTTCGCGAAGTCTTCTCTACGTTTATTGTAACAAACACTTGTCTCACTCACACAGAGGTACCAGTCATTGAATCTGTACAGGTGACTGAGGAAACTGTCCTTCCGTTGATAACTAGCCTCAAACCTAGTAAGATGCCGGGCCCTGACGAGTTATATCCACTGTTGCTGTCATCTCTTGCGGACATTATTTCAAAACCGCTCGCGACACTCTTCAACATGTCCCTTTCACTCGCTCAACTCCCTAGAGATTGGAAGGACGCTATAATCAGTCCTATATTCAAGGACGGTCAGAGACATATAGTATCTAACTACCGGCCTGTTAGTCTAACTAGTATAGTCGTTAAGTTACTTGAAAAGATAATTCGGGTTAGGTTGCTAAGCCACATAGATTTACACAATCTGTTAGCTCCTGAGCAACACGGATTTCGTAACAAGCGTTCATGCTTGACTAACTTGCTTATTGTGAGGGAGGATTGGACAGCAGCCCTAGATAACGGTTTGTCTGTCGATGTGATATTCATAGATTTTAGCAAAGCGTTTGACAAGGTTTCACACGTAGGTCTTATGCAGAAGCTCACGAGCTTCGGAATAATAGGTACTGTACATGCGTGGATAGGAAATTTCTTATGTGACCGCAGACAGAGAGTGAGGGTTAACGGAACGCTATCCGATCGGAAGCCGCTCAAAAGTGGTGTACCCCAAGACACCATATTAGGCCCTCTGCTCTTCCTTCACTACGTTAGTGAGTTGCCACTGTTGCTTAGGTCGTCGGCATTATTATTTGCGGATGACGTAAAAATCTGGAGAACAATAGAAAGTGCGGCTGATCATCTGGATCTTCAAGCTGACTTAGACGATTTAGTTAGATGGGCTCGAGAGTGAGGCTTAGAAATCAATGCTAGGAAGAGTGTGTTAATGCACATCGGTCACGGTAATAGTTGCCGTTGCACTATTGAGGGTAAACCTCTTCTATGCGTTCAAGAGCATAACGACTTAGGAGTAGTATTAAATCATGGTTTAAAAAAACTACGCATTGCAACGCAGCCGCTGTCAAAGGTTTTCGTGCGTTATGGTCACTTCGCCAAGCGTTCAAACTTTTTGACGAGGAAACGTTTCGAATTTTATATCCCATATATATTAGACCACATTTAGAGTACTGTATCCAAGCAGCTAGCCCGTGTCTGGTAAAGGATACTAACTCGCTTGAGCGTGTCCAGCGTATGGGAACGAAATAAGTGAAGGGTCTTTCTAGACTCCCTTACGATGAGCGTTTAAAACGCCTAAACCTTTTCCCCTTGTTGTATCGTAGGACACGAGGTGACCTTATACTGGCATTTCGTATCTTTAATTATGATTTGGGTGTTAATATGTCTTATCTTTTTGCTCCCTCCAACACTAATAATCTCCGAGGTCAGAGCAGGAAGGTTCATAAACCACTTAAAGTGGGGTCCCGTTTTTCTCGTCGAGTAGTCAATGATTGGAACGCCTTACCCGAACAAGTGGTATCAGCCCCATCAGTGAATACTTTCAAGAAGCCGAACCTTCACTGGAAGGCAATCTGTCAGGATTAACACAGGTTTACCAACCTACTATTTGGTGATCTACTAGACACGGAAGCCTGCTCAGAGAAAGCTTCTTCTATTCCGTCCACAACCATTCGAACTTGTCAGTTTGACTATATAATGGTGACAAAACAGCCGCAAATTTAACATATTGCGTTATGGATACTTCGTTGTATCCAATAGTTATTGCTGTCGTTGTGTGTTTTGTAACTGTTATACTATATTGGTTATCAGTCAGAAAGAGACTTAAAAACGTGTTGTTTATTGGTGCTTGTGATTCAGGGAAAACAACTCTTTTTTCATCTATTGTATATGGAAATCCATCTTCCACTTTTACATCTCTCAATGAGAATGTTGGAAATCTAAAAACAGATAAAAAAGTATTGAGCATCTTGCCTCATATTGAAAGGCTCTTGTTCTTGTAGATGTTCCTGGCCATGATAAAGTTCGAAACGAGATAATTCACAAATATAAGTCGGACACTTTGTATGTCGTGTTAGTTACTAATTAGTTCTAGGGCATTGGTATTTGTCATAGATTCAAAGTCTATTCAGAGTGACGTAAAAGATGTTGCTGAGCAAGTCTTCCTATTCTGTATAACAATTGCCGATACGTTTTGTAGGTTTTTGTACAATATACTTGTGGATAAGGTCTTTATAAAGAATCGCGTAAAATTACTAGTAGCTTGCAATAAACAAGATGCTACCACGGCAAAAGGTGTCAGTGTAGTGACTCATTTGCTTGAAAAAGAATTGTAAGTCATTCAGTCTTAACACTACTTTGTGCATAATTATTAAACTATTTGTTAATTCTTCCTAGCGTTTGAAGGCTTTTTTGATTGTATTATATCATGCTGTAAGCAAAGGGGTTCTGGAAAAGATCGACACAATCGAATAAGTAGATCAGAATCTTTGAAATTACAGGTCACCTTTATTCAGATATTTGGGACATAGGTTCTATACATCCCTCTAAATTTGTACTGTAAAGATTCAGCTAGACATATCACAACAGTACGAAGCTCTTCATAGGCTATTATGTACGAATGCGATTCGCCATCGTGAATAAAATGTGACTAATAAAGTGGCTTTTTTCATTGTATTATTTGCTAGAGATATTGATTAAAGCTCTTTTCTAAATCATGCTTAACATCATAAGTGCCGATATACCCATCATTTTTTGTCCTCAGATATCCACTTTCGTTTTCACTGTGATTGTGGTACAATATCATACTTTAAATCATTGGTTTCGGTGTAGAAGACGGAGGTAGAATGATGTCAGGTAGTTATTGAAGTCCTAAATATCCACCGCGTAATAATTCACATTTATCTTCAAAAGTCGTCGAATAGTAATGCACTAACGCTCACCAGATTACGGTTGGCCAATATGACACTTAGAATTACATCATTGGAAAGTTTTCATGTGACTTGATCATTTTCGTAATCTTTGATGCACCATTACACTTGTTGGGACCACCCGTCCATCCATACCACCAATGAGTTGAGATCATCCTGTAATACTATTCTGTCTGACATACTGTGTGTGGATCTCCAAATCATTATGTCATCGGCGAAGAGTAGGACAGATGACTTTGCTACAGTTGGTAATGCATTTACATAAAGTAAAAAATGAGGATCGAGGATTGTGCTTTGGAGAATCCCACCTTTTACACGCTAAGAGAGCTCCACTTACCCTAACGCTTTATCTCCCGTCATAGAAAAAGTCGCTTATCGAGTCTATGACCTTATAATGGATTCCAAAACTTTCCAGTTTTAATTTAAGACTAGAATGGGAGACCTTGATCTATGATAATTACATCTACAGGAATATTTTGATCTTTTTCTTCAGCCCAGTCTTCCTTTGTAATAAGCAGATTTGTCGAAAATAATGGGCCTTCCCTAAAACCATGTTGTTCCCTGGGTAAAAGATTATGCCCTTCCACATAGTTTATAACAACCATCCGAATAATCTTTTCCATTAGTTTTACAACTGCACTGCTTAAACTAATGGGTCGATAGTTACTAAATAAGTCTCTACTCCCCGCCTTATACACTGGACTAATTATTGCGTTCTTTCAGTCTCTTGGCAGTCTGGATTGTCTCAGAGAAATATCAAACATTATGGCCATAGGTTCAGCAATCCCATCTGATAGGGCTTTCACAATCCTAGAGTGAATATCATCAGGGCCAATGGACTTATCAGGTTTGAGATGCTGAAGTAGTCTTAAGACAGTATGTTTCTCAATAACTACAGGGTGCATCAACAAGCCGCCCTGATCACGATCAATTATTGGTCGTTTCTCGTTATCGGTAAAAAACATCTTACTAAAATATTCCGATAAATCTTTAGCTTTTTCGGCACCATCTCTTGCCAATGTCGACTGATTTTTTTGGTACCAAAAGTGGTAGGAATCCATCACTTTTCTGTGTTCACCTCTTTTTGTACGACGATAATATTTTCGGATTATTTTCATAATCCTTAAACAAATGTTTTTCATATGACCGTCTGGTCTTACTTACTAACGCTTTACAAGCATTCCTAATCTTACAATAACTGGATCTATACTGTTCTAAGCCAGTAGATGTAAACATATTCCAATGCTTTTCCTACGTCTAAGAAGTTTCTTGACTTGGTTAGTTATCCATGGAGGACAATTATTTGGTCTGCGTGGTACTACTCTGCAGAACAACATACCACTAACTGATAGGACCTTTTTAGGTAGATTATTTCATATAATTTGTCAACAAAAACTTTCTCACCCGGAAAAAGGTTAAAAATATCTGGCATCAAGCCTAAGCCTCTCTTGAGTTGCATTCAAGGTAGCCAATTCTAAACTTGTTCGATATATCTCTCAAACCTTATCGTCTGACTTTTTTTGATATGTCATTTATCCACTACCTACATAATGGCATTTCCGTTGGTATTGCAAATTTTGAGGTCTAGAAAGTGGTCATAAAGATGGTAGAAAATCACGTGCTGAGTTTCACTTGTCGCCAATGAAACGTAGTTCGACAGTTTATTCATATAAAGCTTCATTTAATTTGTCTAGGCAAGTCTTACTCATATTAAAGTCCTAAACTTTCCTTGTCTATTTGTATGATGAATTAATTCATGGTACAATCGTCCAGTTTGAGCCTAGTCGGCATAGTATCAACTAGTTCCTTACAAATTTTAGGACTATAGTTTTCTTTCACTTGCTTTTTCTGTTCACTCTTTGCTGTAAAATGTAGCACTATAGACACCACTGATTGTTAATGGTCACATCATCAAGAGTTATAGCTGCCTAAAGGTATGGACCTTTATACAACGATTCATCATTAATAGACTCCTAACAGTTTTGTTTAATTCATTTACACAGCGTATGTCATACTTGGGGAGGTTGATTATCAACTGACTGAGTGTTGGGATAGCCTGTTTGTCATTGGACAGTAATAAATATTATTTACTTGCACCAGGTCGTAAATTCTGTGGACCAAGTAATATATCTACACCACATACTTTTAATTTATTTCCAAAGAGTATATAACATTATAGGGCATTAGTGAAACTGATGAACCGTAACATGTCAATGTGTATTACATTTTGTCTTCGAAGATCTATACCATTTACTGTTTACTTTCTGTTAATAGAATGTTTTTGTGACATTTTTTAAACTCAGGAATACTCTTACATTTACACGTACTGGTGCGCTTGCTGGCCTCGATCAGTCCACCATATCAACATTGACAAAGCCGGGAGTGACCTTCACTTTTGCAAAAAGTCGTTTACCGGTGGATTTCGTTGAAATTTCTGCTACAAATAATTCTTCTGAAATTCATAAGTGGCTTGTGCAATTATAAGTTTGCGAGAAAACTTACTGTTCTTATATTAAAAGATACCTGAGTTCTCCTCTTGTTAATACATTTTTATCAACATTATATTTCTTGTGAATATGCTGTAATTTCATTTCACCACTCCGTTGAATATTCATGAGTACTATCTGTCGGTCAGATTACTTACGGATAATATCTATTCTTTTAATGGTTCATAGTGAACTGCTACCTTGAAATTTTGTAGAATAAACTAGTATACTATTGCTATTATAAAGTGTAGGTGACTCTTTAACAGCAGGATGCATGAAAATGGTACCAATTTTATTGACTGAAATTCCGGAATAATGGATTCTTATCACGAAGGTTGGTTTTCTGTTTCTTTTCAGGTGTCAGTAGTGTTCCAGATACAAATGAACATTTGTCACGCTCCATCAGCATTCTTTTAGACCTTTGTCTTTCAGGAGTTTGGCATCCATTTCCTTTAAACTAAACTATGCAAGTAAACAGAAAACGTCTAAGGATTACCAGGCTGAGTAAAACTGATCAGTCAGTCAGTCAGCTACAACGTAGGACCAGGCACATATGTGCATCGGTCCAGGTTGCCATACCTCATTAGCACAACAAGATGAACACCGGATTCATAGGAGTGGTTAGGTCAAAGGTTGCAATAAGGATATAGTATAGGAAGGAAGAATTAGTTCGTAGAAAGAAAGATATGAAGTGATTTTAATCTCTTAGTTTAAGGGAAGACAGGGAGTGTCTACACCGACGCCATTGTGATCGATTCTGAGCCATGTCACCAAGAGTCTCCAACCATTGGTTACGAAAGTCACGCGGACCCCAACCAAGTAGTCTGCATCTACCAACATGGTTCAGACTAGAAGTTAGTGACTTCAAGCACTGATGCCACGTTTTGGTTTGGCCGCCCCTAACTTTCTTCCAACCATCCCCTACACCGGTTAGCATTGCACGTCGTGGTAATCGGTGTTCAGGCATACGTAATACGTGGCCCAACCATCTCAGTCGATGAAGATTCACAATATCATCAACTGATTTACCATCATTCCCTAATACCCTGCGTCTAACCTCACTATTACTTACCCGGTGATCCCAGCAATATTTCTAAGGCATCTGTGGTCAAATACTTGTAGCTTACGGGTGTCTTCTACTCTTAAAGGCCATGTTTCGCTGCCGTAAAGTAAGACAGAACGGACTGCCGCGCAGTATACTCGTCCTTTTATTGATAGACGGATATCTCGCCTCCGCCAAAGGTGACGTAAGTTGGCAAAAGCCAAACGAGCTTTTCGAATCCGTGCTGAGATTTCGTCAGACACCAACCCATTAGGGCTGATCAGACTTCCAAGATAAGTGAAGTTGTCGACGCGTTCGACTACTTCACTCCCTATCCTTAGTTCAGGTGTTGACGCAGACCAGTCCTGAAGCAACAACTTGCATTTAGAGGGAGAGAAGCGCATTCCAAACATTCTGGCATTGTTGCTTAGTGCTACCAGAAGACTCTGCATTTTGTCAGCGTCTTCACCAAACAGGACTATGTCATCTGCGTATTCTAAGTCGATAAGTGGACCTCCTGGAAGGAGATCAATACCCGAGAATTCAGTCGACGAGAGTGTTATTTCCATCAATAGGTCTATGATGAAGTTAAACAAAAATGGAGAAAGTGGACAGCCTTGACGGACACCACTTGAAGTTGCAAAAGTAGTAGAAGTGACCATACTGTTGTATCAAAGTATTCCGTTTCATCCCTCATGATTGTCGGTCTAATTCGATTATTATCCCATAGTGAATTTACAGGCCATCTAATGTTTAGTAGATTAATATTACTTACTGAGCTTACTCGACTGATGAAATAGCTACCAGATTCACAGGTCATTAGAAACCCAGTAAACATTGTTGTGACGAAAAGATGCGAACTATATGCAACAGTAAAATTAAGAATAGACTGAAGGAAGATTTGACTCTAGACCTAGGAAGCCTCATTCACCGTACAAAACTAAGACGTCAGGTTAGTTGAGAGTTGGGTAGAGGTTGTTAACATTTTGGGAGAGTATATAAGCGTTATACGTATCAGCGTAGTGACAAAGGTTCCTACACAAGTTTAAGTTCTCATCAGCTCTTTGGTATTAAGACATGAAATTCCTCACAGCATTCCAACAGTGGATAAAAGTAGGATCTGTAATGAAAATATACATCTCAATCTTCGTTTACGGGAATACTCTGACAATTCAGTCTGCCAGCTGCTACAGAGGGTCGTTTTCCACGTTTGTGTACATGGGCAGGAATAGCAAACCACTTTACGGTTAGGATTACTCATAATTATTAGTCAGTTAAGGTCCTCGCGAACAATTTGACCTCAACAATTAACTCAATAGATTCCATGACAAACGTCAACAATATACGGTTTAATACAATGCAAATCAATCCAAGCTGTCACACTTCAAATAATCGTAGAGAGAAATATTATCACCTGCAATGGAGATCTAGATATAAGAAATACAGTCCAAAAAGGGAAAATGAAATCGAAGAATGAAAGGCTGGAGGTAATATTCAACTGAAAGTATGGAGAGAAATAGAGAATGAATATCAGTGCTTCTACACCATGTTACATTTCCTGCCGTAAATTAGGACTTGCGAGGTACTCAACCAGGAAGTCTGGACCTCTAAATACTACTCGGTGGTTAACGATTTCATAGTGATTTTTATTCATTCGTTTTTCGCAACCAACTTCCAGCCAGCATTGTGTTGGGAGCAGCGGCCGGTCATACGATGAACATGTCAGTGTGGCTTCACAGCCCCATTTTTATCAAACAACAAGCCTAAAGCATACTTTACGTTTTTAGTAGTTCCACTATATGCAAGTAGTACTCCGAAGAGACAACCGAATGGGTATAGCGTATTTAGTGGCTCACGTTTCATAGTAATATAGTGCTGCACA